GCTGCTCCTCAGAAACCCTAAACAGGGTCACTATGGGTTGGAACTGACTGGACGACACTTAACAATGATTTTGGCCTGGCAAAACTGCACATTGCATAAAATATTTGGGAAGATAATATCTTTCCTAAAGGAGTCCTAGTGGCACAGTGGTTACAGTGCTCGCTTGGTCAGCTGCTAGCCACCCAGCCAGTCCACAGGAGAAAAGGGTGGCTAAATCTAGAGCTTTGGAAACTCTATTTGGTCCTATGGGGTTGCTATGAGTTTGGTTTTATATCTCTTTGGATCCATTTAGTCAACTGGCCATTTCATTTTAGAGTTCCTTCACTATCATTTTTTCTGTCCCTGGGTGGCACAAATGGATAAGCACTCAACTACCAACTGAAAGGCTGGTGATTTGAACTCATCCAGAGGCATTCTTGCAGGAGAAAGATAAGACTGTCTGCTCCTATAAAGACGTACAGTCTCAGAAACCCAAAGGAGCAGTTCTACTCTGTCCTACAGGGGCACTGTGAGTTGGAATCAGCGACACGATAATGGGAAAAGGGAAAGAGGCACCTTGGAAGAAAAGTCTGGCGATTCGGTTCCAAAAGCTCACAGCCATAAAAACCCCATGGTCCACGCAGTTCCACGGTGAAACACATAGGTACCCATGAGGCGGAATCAACGGCAACTGGTTTGGTCTTGGCACCACAAATTCTAGAATCACACGCTTCACGCTGCTGTGTGGTCTTTCTCCAGCGTTTTAAGCCAGATACAGGGAACTGTAGGTAGTACTACTTACTGGCTTAGTAATACCACCACTGACTTGATTAAAGGTTTGGACACAAACGGCAGATCAAGACTCAAGAAGCAACTTCATAAGTCCTAATAGTTTGAAAAATTTTTACTGTTACAATGAATTTCTTTTAAAACAAAATAATGAGAGTTCAATTAAGATCAATGCTCCTTTGCCAACTCCATTTCTCAATAAAAATACCATAAAATTACACAATGGATCGAATCTAATAGTTTCCTCTAAAAAAAAAAAAAAATTGGGAGTTATAAAAAAGGTATTTAAGAATAGAAGCAAATATTGTTGAATAACGATGCACAGAGGAGATTGTAATCATTGCAACAAAAACGATGAGTGTAAAACGTGTTTTCCCATGTAAATGATCACTCAATTCACAATAAAAACTTTTAAGAAAAAAAAAAAAAAAGGCCTTTAAACATTGTTGAGTGGGAACCTAAACTGCTAAACCTTCATGGAAAACACAATATAGTATTGCTTTAAAAAAAAAAAAAAAAAAAAAGGCCTTTAAAGCCCCCTAAGGAGCTCTGGTAGCGTAGTGGTTACGAATCGGGCTGCGAACCTTAAGGTCAGCGGTTCGAAACTACCAGCTGCACCGCGGGAGAAAGATGAGGCTTTCTACTCCCGTAAAGATTTACACCCTCGGAAACCCTATACAGGGTCGCTATGGGTCGGAACTG